CTGAGATGGAGGGAGGGCGGTAGGTGGCACGACTACCGCTGCAACTGGCTGGAGGATTACTCCTTTATCTGTCAGTTTGGTGAGTTGAAAGAGAGAGAGAGAGAGAGAGAGAGAGAGAGGGCTGTGCCTTACTGAGGTGGAGGGAGGGTGGTAGGTGGCACGACTACCGCTGCAACTGGCTGGAGGACTACTCCTTTATCTGTCAGTTTGGTGAGTTGAGAGAGAGAGAGAGAGAGAGGGGGAGAGGGAGGGAGGGCGGTAGGTGGCACGACTATCGCTGTAACTGACTGGAGGACTACTCCTTTATCTGTCAGTTTGGTGAGTTGAGAGAGGGGGGGCGGGGGAGGGGCATTATCAGGGGAGAGGGAGAGGGAGATGGCATGACAGTCGGTGCAACTGGTTAAATTGGGAGGGGGGTGTGGTGAAGATGGAGAGGGGGAGCAGGTTTTGGGAGGGAAGAGATAAAGGGGGGGGGGAGTGGCATGACTATCGGTGTAACTGGAGGATTACTCAATCCGTTTGATGGGGGAATCTTATCACTCTATGGGATATCACAAGTTTTATTTTTGTCTCTATAATGTGAGGGAAATCACACCTTTTATTTTTGTCTCTATAATGTGAGGGGAACCACACCTTTTATTTTTGTCTCTATAATGTGAGGGGAATCACACCTTTTATTTTTGTCTCTATAATGTGAGGGAAATCACACCTTTTATTTTTGTCTCTATAATGTGAGGGGAATCACACCTTTTATTTTTGTCTCTATAACGTGAGAGAAATCACATCTATGATTTATATCCCTTCAATGGAAAATGTCTCTTTTCTTTTTACTGATTTTGTCTTGAAATATTCTCCCCAGACATGGTACCACCACCGACCAGTCCCCCTACCACCACCACAACGACGACAACGACCGCTGCAACTACAACAACAACAACGACTCCGCCCACCACCACCATCACCACCACCAGCAGCACAGCCAAACCGACCCCCGTGTTCATCAGCCACAGCAGTAGCAAGCTGAACAGCACAGACAAACTGCGGGCTGACTACCGATTACACCAGGAGACTCAGGGGGAAGGAGGAGAGAATGAGACGACGGTGTTGGTCATGCCTCCCTCGGTACTAGCTGCAGGTGAGAGGGGGAGGGAGAGAGGGAGACAAGAGGAGGTAGGGAGGGGGAGGGAAGAGGAGGGAGGGAGGGGGAGAGGTGGGGTGAATGAGACGAAAGGTTTGGTGATTCCTCCCTTCTGTACTAGCTACAGATGAGAGGTGGAGGGAGAGAATGAGATGCCTCCATCTGTACTAGCTGCGGGTGAGAGGGAGGAGAGGGGGAGAGGGAGAATGAGGGGTTTATTTGTTTCCTTCTTTCTTATCAAAAGTCTGTCTTCTTTTACTCTCCTCCATCTTTTCTTTGTGTGCTACTCTCTAGGAAAACCTCTAGTCGGGGCAGTGCCACTGACTGTAGTGTCTTTAGGTCATTCCCAAAGGGGGGACATTTCTCGTTCAAGCACAGTAGAATTGTAAATGGGCTGATTCATCATGTCACGATCATAACTGTGCCTGATCTTCAACAGGGAACTGCTGCTTTTTCTTTCCTAATCCTTATTATTGTCATTTTCCTCTACTTCTTTTGTGTGTTTGTCACTCTTGTGACCCGCTATTTCCGGGGTGCCTTGATAGTCGAAGCAGACCTTGTGCTG